TTAATGACCAGGATGTACACATATTTAGGGTGATTCACATCAAAATCAGGTGTAGCAGCTCGTTACATGCAGACGTCGAACACATTTTCTTTGTCAGCGATATTTTTAATGTGGATCGTACTTGGTTGCATTATAACTTTAATTGGGGCCCAATCTTGAAGGGCTAGACCCCTATTGTTGTGGTCCGATTTCTTCTTCTTTTCTATTTCTTCTGTAACTATCTTTTGTCAAGTCGTTTGAGAAAACTGCTAATGGAATGTCCCTAATGTGAACTGGTGCGCAAGAATTTTAATTGTTTGGCGGCCATATTGGATTGAAATTAAACCAAAAGTGGCGATTTGACCACTTGCTGAGGGTGTATGCGATCAGATTATTTTATGGAATATAGTACTACTCACATGTAATAGATATCAGCAGTAAAATCTTAAACGGTCACGTGATTTTCTTCCGCCATGTTTTTTCTCCAAAAAATGGCAAACAACGCTTGAAAATTTTCTTAAGAACCACCAAACAAAATGCTCTCATATATGGTATTTAGCTTCTACATATGAAGCACATTTAAGTTTGAAAAATCCATTTTAGATTTTTTCTAAACAGGAAGTTTGAACCATTTTTTTTACTTGAGGCTAAATTTTGTGATCATCTTCTAATGAGTCACACGGTTTGCTTGGCCACCATCTTGGAATTTGTTAAAACAGAGAATGTGCAGTTATATTTAGTAGTTAGTTGTGTTGGTCCGTTTGGGTTCAAATTGTGTATTGTGTGTTCTACTTTTAAGATTATTTTATCCGAATGGCAAATGGCTAGGTCATGTGGCCAGGCGCCCATGGGGTGGGGGTTTCTAATATGCACAACTGCTGTATCTCAAACACTGTTGTAGTTAGAAAGATGTAACATGCATTATGATGACGTTAAACAAAAGTTTTTACTAAAATAAGAGATGACCATATATGGACATGTGACATGCAACCAGTGCCATAATTAAAGCTTCAAACAAAAGATGATGGTCGTATATGATCATATAATCCATTAATATGCACAAATCATGGCTAATTGTATATTCTGAAATCAATATCTCCTTAACCAAACGAGGTAAATACATGGAACCAACTTTATTAACCACACGGTATTGATAATATAAACTACTCTAATAGCAATCAGGCGATCTCGTTAATTACGGAATAAATTTATTATAGCTAAGGCCTTGCTGACGCCGCTTGCGGCCTTAATTTTTAGATGTAATTACACACATCACCGGATAATTTTTGGTTCAATTGCCGCACACAAAGCTGGTTACAAACTTGTGAATTGATTTTGCACTCATCAGCATATTGATTTTACTTTTGTTAATTTGTAACTATTTGTGATTTGAGTGATTGTAATTCATCCCAACATTGGAATATCCAACAATTTTACTACTGAATTATTTACAATGGGCGATATGGTCTTTCTGCAAAATGTTTCGTCGTGCCAACTGTATTTTGAACACTAATAATCATTATTAAAATGTTTTTTTTTTTTTTAAATGTTCAATACTCATGCACGAATCGCGTGTTGTAAATCACGTTATTTCATGTAGATAGCAGCACAGCATGTTGGCCTCAAATAAAATGGTTGCTGGAGAAAAATGGAAACTCGTGCCATTCGATTTATATTTTAGGATCATGTGTCTATCAGTGAATTATTCAACTATACATTCACGGTATCGGTATTTTTATAAATAATATGATATATATTTATCAGTATATATGCATTATTCTTTCTCAGGGTTATTTCAATAACGCTCAATGCTCACGTTTTTATTGTACTGTAGATCTGGAGACGTTTTTCGCAAAAAAAGTACGCTTTGAACAGGTTCAACCCAAATAACAAATTCAGGACCGAACAACGATTAGAAAGGTAAAAAAAATAGAGCAAATGATTAATTTGTATAGTTTTAAGTCTGTATAGTTTTAAATTCAGTTTCATCGTATGTGCCATTACTCTGTGTCATACGATGCATGTGCATGTGATGTGACGTTTGGAAACACATGTATTGTTTCGTGTTTTCAAGATAGAAGAAGAAACCAATTCATTTTTGACATTATCACTGACATAAAAATAAATACAATGTGAATAAAATAAAATAAGTGTAACGGATTGACCAGGATAAATACAATGAATGTATTATAAATTAAATGCAAAATATCGTACGAGGAATAGCAATACAACAGTTGGCGAGGAGATCAAGACAGCATCAATCGCACTGATATATAACTCGGACATGGTTGCTGTGCCATTGCTAAATTAGCTGCGACTTTCTGTGATCGCATGGAGTGCACAGTTATGTTTTTATTTTCCGACAGAGGGCGTCCGCATGTTCATTTGTGATTTGAACGTGAAAGAATCAAGTTGGTACTTTTTAAAAAAGGTAAATATTTGCCTATGAATTAAACGACGTATGTGTAAATGGACTGCTGTCAACAGTCACCTTGGTTTGATATTGGTTTGTGCCGGGAATTAGAGAGACAGGCGTATTCAAACGAAATATTACAATCATAGAAAAATATTTAGCAAAAACTGAAATTGGTAATAATTGTATTCGGACACGCCACGCAGCTACAAAACTATTTGGAAGAATTGTTAGTGGAATATTGTAGTATGTGTTCCATTAGTAGTTTTCGAAGAAGGGTTTGTTCTACGATATTGAATAAATTGAATTTTGTCTGACATAAGTTGATACAGTTCAGTTCATTATAGTTAACAGTAAATTATTTGCAGAAAATAAAAACAAATAAAACATTCAATGTATTTGATAAATAGTCTTTTATAATTAACTAGATGGACTTGTGATATTTTTACATCGTACTATATGTTCTGCATATTTCAGAACGTATTTTTCTCATATTTTCCCGCCCCAGGTGCAGTTGTTTGTTGTCGTGTGTTGATTCTTTTGTTTGCATTGCTTTATTTACATATAAATTGCACACATACACAAACAAAATATGTTTAAGACTTGAAAAAAGAATACCGCATAACTCAGCACGAAATACGATCAGTATTCTACATAAAAGACATGTCAACTTTAGTAAATATATTTTACTACAGAAAAGTCGAATAACAATACTTCCAATTTTAGACTAATATTTATACAATTAAAACTTTGTGTATAGAAGTCTCCAGTCGCGTGGTGAATAAAAGAACGAGTGGGGTAGGCATAGGGAATGAGACAGGAGACCCACTGTTACCTCGCCATGTTTTTTTCAGTCATGAACATAATTAACAATGCCTCCCTGTGAATGGAAATATGTATAACCGCACATCTTACACAGGTGATTGGCAAATAAAAGACATTTCCCATGAAGAGAATTATTCACAAAGACTGAACCCTGCAGCTTCCAATAAATCAGACATTATTAGACGAAATTCAAATCTCTTGGGATGTCATGCGTTCTTCCTCACTGAACCTGGCGTTAATCTTCTAATACACGTATGTAAGATGATATCTAAACTAATATTAATGTTCTTGAGAAGCAGATTAACAATGATTGTGGAAATTGAAAACAGAGGGGGATTTAAAAAAGCCATATATTTTTGCTATTTACAAACGGGTGTAATATATCTCGGTATATATTATAGTCGGGGCCTAATCACCCATGGGAATGGCTCTTTGACAATTAATTCTGAGTAACATTTACACTGCAAGAAAGGGGATATAGAATGAGAAGAGATTGTGAGCCATGGTATTCCCCATCGTGCATTGCCTGTGCAGTATGGATTAGTGTCGGCATTACCGTTGGTGTTCCACCCAGAAACATAGATACAGCAATTATTAAATTAGAAATTCATTTATATTTATATATATATTACAGACATTTACATAACACGCAATACAGGGTTCAAAATCACTCGCATGGCATAGCAGATATTTTTTGCTGGGAGAGTTGATTTTCTGATTCTGCCAATGACAGTTTTTAATTATATCAACGTTGTTGTATTTAAATGGCACTGCGCATGTGCGACATTTGTGTAGATAGACATTGATTTTCCCCCAAATCAATGCGCTTTTCTAATAGAAAGTGCAAGTACAAGGTTTGACCTGGGCGCGTCTTGCACTAATTACCGCCGGTGAGTCCTTCGATACCTTCCAATCACCTTAGAAATACCTAATTAAAGCTTGGTAATGTCTCATTTTGTACTCTGTGTCTTTATTTATATGAGGCCCATATATCTCATGCATGCGTGGCGCGACGACTACCGCCCTTTAACGTTCAAAGTTCTAAATCTCTCTAAAATGAATTGGCTTTTCAATCTTTACTATGGAAGAAATTACGTCTGAAGATTCCGTCTATGTATAGACATCTCTTTTAACGTTCACTATATTTTGCGTGACGAAAGTGAAATAATGACGCTAGAATGTAACCGTAATCATACCAAAGCTATTCTGTTCATCAAGTCAAATGTAATTTCAAAATAAGTCAAATGTAATTTCAATATAACCTTACTTAAAAGAAATCAGACTACTTAGTGATATGAATACTCAAAAAATCTCAGTAACATATTTTTGAGGGCATACAAGGATATTGCCTGCATATTAATTGGCAGATTATTAGAAAGGATCACTTTGTTGGGTCATTGTATATGCTATGGAATGGGTTCTTAAACTGCACATATGTATGGTTATGTATGTATGTCTCAGTGAGCGACTCTATGTACCTATATAATTCCCTCAGGACAACCAATTATGCTGTTAAAGTAGTATATCGGTGTCACCTTTCAATATCGGATAACATTAAAAAGTAAGGTTATGCACTCCTTGCGATAGTTTTAGTATAATATATTACGACTAAACCCTTATTTTGTGTAGGTGAGCAGGTTACAAATAAGTGATAATATCATAGTCCTTTATACGGCTCCGTTTGATTTTTGTCATATAAGTAGTCATTTCAACCATTACAACGTACCACAGAAATAATTTACAACTTCATTACTTAATTAATTATACGTAAAACTTCTAAAAATTAACTTTCTACATTTTATTCACATTCATAAATTTCGTTTTCATTCACTGTATTTCCTCTGACAGTCTTACAGTCGGTGCTTTGTGTCTCTCTTCTGGGCGAAGAATGTGAATGATGTCTCATTACTAAGAATTCACCTTGGTTAGTAGTTGTCTTGTTACACACGCAACGACATATTAGCTTCAGGTGATTCTGGAAAGGGGATTGAAAGAAATTTACATGAAACAGGGTGGCAATGTAACAAAGTTGTCATCGTTGCTCTTGAGGACGTGAGAGTCAACACAAAACAGTGCATATGGAAGCTGACGTACAGTATAGAAATTGATATTGTTATGTAGAGAACGGCTCGCTAAACATTGTTTTGTCAGATATAATTTTGCTTGTGGTTAATTGTGCTAACTTCCTGTGTGTAACTGTATTATCAATATCGTGTCTAGTCTAGATAAAAACCAGTTCATTGTAACTATGGTTATATATATGTATATGTGTGTCACATGTGGAGCAAGATGTGTTCACTCTATTCGAGTGAGTTGTACCCGTAATTGTTTGTCATTTTGTTTCCAATAGGTCAGGTGCCTTTTTGATTATTTACCAGTCAGTCTAGTATGTATTGTTGCGTAACAACGATATATGGCGTGTGCCACATATTGAGAATGTAAATTCCATTTTACAGCTATGAATTTTGATATTTTGTGGGATTTCTACATCATAATTATGTTCAAATTGTCATGTGAAACTGTGACACAAGTTTTCTTACCCTGAAACTATCATTCATGAAGCAGTAAATAACAGGATTAACAAAACTATTCGACATCGCAATCCATATGAGGGCAGCATTGATCTGTCGTGTTATGTCCTGTTGCTTGAGATCACGATGTACACGTTGTACGATGTTAAACACGTGTAGGGGCATCCAACACAATGCGAACATTAAAAGCACCACTACTAACATCTCGACAACCTGTGAAATGTACGCAAGAACACAAAAAAAACAATTAACAACTAATCTACATAGACATCCACATATAAATATAAATATAAAATTACCTTGTCCACTTGTAGATTTGTCTTGAGTGGTGTGTGTTAATGTTTACAATGTCAGCTGATACCTTGTTTAAATATGGTACATACAAATTAGCTAGCTGGGTAAAACTATCAAAAATAAAGCGTAAGTCAACAATACTCTTGGCTCGCACCCTTAGACTCAGAAATATATATATAGAACAGCAATGGTTTATACGATCAGGGTAGGCAGGAACATGTGATATGCGATGAAGATCTCGCGAGAGGCGAATTCCTTGCAATTTTGTTTTGAGACACCTAAATGCGATCCCCTTCCGTGGGCGTCAATTGAATACTGGACGCGATGTGTGTCTGGAAATGTTTGATTGGGTAAACAGGAATGAGCGCATTCAAATAAGCACTTCTTTTACAGACTCACTAATTTGCATTTGGAATTCTAGGGAATACTCTTGCGATTTCGTGATCATCTCGCAATTAGCCCGACTTCAATTCGAGATCTAGACTACATGTCGCACTCTTGCATACCCTAACCTTATAAATCCTTGATATTAGTGAATACAAAGTGAAGTTAGATTTTGTAAAGTTTTCACTAGCGTCAACATTGTGAGAAAAAACAAATAATGAGAAATGAGAATTACTTTTATGTTTATAGTCATATATGAGCAATTATCACATGACCAATGAGCATAGCTTAAGTTTAGTTTAAAATGTCACTAACTGTCATTTCATACTATACGTGGTGATCAGTCTGTGTGTCCTAAGAACACTAACCTTACGCTTTGTCTTGATGTGTTTATAGTCGCGCACTTGGTCGGCGTTTCCCGGTATCTGTCGAAACCAGAGTGTGTAACCTACCATTATGTAAGTATAACACATCGCCAGTAACGGGACAAAATAGGTGCCACACATAACGAAGATTTCATAAGCGACGGCTGATGTTTTATTAGGCCATTGTTCGCCACAGGTGTAGAAAAATTCGCCATCCCAAATATATTGCTTTGTTCTTGCCATGGCAATTTGAACACTTCCGGACATGGCTGAAATTATCCAAATGATCAATACAATACACAGGTTTCTCTTTTTCGAAGCACGTCGTCGCATTGGGTGAAGTACTGCGTAATATCGATCGATGCCTATTGCAGTCAGCGTATAGATGCTAACACACACAGACACCTGTAAATTGAATGAAACAAAACAATGCATAAATAGTGTGGTTTTATATGTGTTTAGTGGTTTATTATGCACGAGTGTATTTAACTTTAAAAAACATTTACTGAATGTTTCCCCATGTTTATTTTAACTTTCATCAATAACTATTTAACGTTGTTAGGAAAATGCAGGTTTGCTTATATGGCGGTCGCGTCGCGTCCTGTTCTATTAGGGACTCGTACACAACGCGTGCAAAATACATTGTTTGCATAAAATTCGAACACCGGCTGCGCGACGACCATCGCGCTTTGAACATCTGCATCATTGCAAAATAGGCTACCTAATTAACAAAAATGATTTAGCCGTCACGAAATCCTTTCCGCCATTTTGGAAAGTCCTAATAATAGACTAATTCGTTTTCTAGTATATATGTATAAGGTCATTAAAGTTTGAATAACTCGTTGTAAATGGTCACGTGGTTTGGCCTCCATCTTTCATGTCTTCCCAACAGGAAATAGGGTTTTATTGATACCACATTGATCTGATTGATTTGAAATCTGGTATGTTACATTCTTATTGGAACTACTTTAGGCACAAGAAAAATAATCTTTGACTGTCTTTGAAAATGACTAAGATGGTATTTGTTTGATACAACTCGCTTTAAATTCCGTTCAGTGATTGTTTTTCCGAGGTTCCATTCTATTCATACGCAAATACGTTCAGATCCGAGCGTGAGACATGAGTTACGCTATTTTAAGCAGTACAGTCGTCGTAATATACGCTAGGGGTCCTATATCGAACACGATGCGGCGCGACGATTGAATGAGACATCCGGAGGTGGGGCTCATGTGACCAGTCATTAAATGAGATTCTAATTTGCATATCACCGGCCGGTCGACACGTCACAACTATCGCAAACATTTGCATGTCGTCAGTGGCGATACCGAGTATATTTTCAAGGGTGAATAAGTAAACAACATTACATGTTGTTTAATAAACAGATATTGCTATGTAACACACTATGCGTCACAGAAACAAAGTAAACAATTAGGTTTTATTCAACAATTTTGCCAATTGTTGATGTTTTTACGAAAAGTAGTTGTTCGACTCAATTAAAATTCTGCATTCACATTTGTGTTAAGATTGGAAATCTGTCCTATTCGTGATTGTCAATTTACATATAAATGCTGGAATTACAAATTGTTATGTTGTAATTGACAGAAAACAAATTCATATGAGCTACGGGTTGTTGACACAAAGTCTACAACTGCAGTATGTTTGTTTTGAATAAATAAACGAAAACAAAACAAAAAATACGCTTCAGATATTAAGGAAAAACAACATATTTCACTGACTTTAGATTTAGTGCAAAACATATATATATATATATATATATATATAACGTGTGTATAGTGAATGTCATCTTCACCTTGAACAGAGTTTTGAAATTAACGTCATACATCTTTTATAGATGCAGCTGCTTATGAATCCAAGGTCGGAACTTGAAATGAGTATCATCACATATAAAGAGACATTGCCAATGGCGTATGCGACTATTTCCTAGAAAAAGTAAATAATGCCAGGGCCACACTGACGAAATTACGCTTCCAGAAGGCATTTAATGTGTTTGATTGGATTACTTGTTGCAGCGTCCAATCAATGTAACGAGTATTTCAACCTTGGTTTTATAACATGTAAGCTTTCCTCTCTTTGTCCTTCAATTGTAAGGCTTTGCAATGTATATGACAACATGTGGCTCGATACAAATATGCATTCAAATACATTCAGTACAAGAACTTTTAAAATTCCAAATTCCAAACGTGTCTAAAACAGTGGTCAAAGTTAACAATCTGCATTGATGACTAAATTATTTAAAGCGAGAGGGTCATCACCTTCGCACGCACGGGAACTGAGTCCCAAGCGATGATAACAACACGCTAAAAACGCAAAAGCTCATGGGTAGACGCTTATTTGTAAACAATGACACGCTATGACCATCTGACGCATGCGCAGGTTATGACTACCCCGCTTTAAGTCAGATGTGAAATTTGTACAAAGACAGTTGAAGTAGAGAACTGTATTGGTTTATTTGAGCGAATCAATGGCCGCAGGGTTTTAACAGTTTACTTTGATTGACAACTGGTGGTGGCATCGCGCTATATAACAAAAAAGTTGAACTCTGCAACTACGTAACTAAAAATGAGTCTTGACTTTACTCTGCATGCAGCAAACGTCAGTGCGAAGCTACTTACAAGTTTGTGCCTGATTAACTACCAAACCCTAACACTTATCAGAGAGACCAATCAGAGAGCAGCTTGTTTGTTGACAAGTTTTGTGCGACGTATCAACTTCTGTCTTGTATATACACTTCGACTCAACTGCAAAATTGTACGTCACGAGCCAATGTATAGTTAATTGGAATCCCCAAGAATTGAATAAAAGTTTAGATGCAGTGTCGCAACATCGTACTCCTTATGTTTGTTGATTTAACCAATTGGATTATCGGATTGTCGTCATGAATGTATGATACAAGGGATAAGTGAAGCATTAAATTAAGTTTGTAAATTAAAATCGAGTTTTCTCTGCTGGTGGACTGTACTGTCCCTGGGGGCTTTCATAAATTGAGTTGTTCGTATTGAACCATGAATATTAGGCTTTATGTGCATAACGCCATACGTTTTTTGTGTTGTCAATATGTATTTCCATCGCGTCATTATGTAGGCGTGATCACTAAATGTCGTTTCGAGCTAACTTTTTGGGGTCTGTAATTATAGATCAGTGGTTAGCTTGTAGTTGCGAGGCGCTACCCTGTGTGTGCGAGTTATGCGAATAACCTTTTGCCAGTAATGATTTTAATCTAAATGTATTTGGATGAAAAATTGAAAAATAGTTTGGATGCATCCATGCGAAATTCAAAAATCATTTGAGATATTGAAAGACTGACTGGTCCTCACTCTTAGAAGTCGTTATTATTTAAAAAGAGTTTGTCTCGATTAAAAAACAATACACTTAATAATTTTATTTCGTGCTATGTGACAGGACTGTTTAAAGTCGTCTCGCCTACAGAAAATTCGTTTCTACATGAACGCCGTTGGCGATAATTGAGTACCGAAGGCATGAAACATGCCTGCGGCACTCGTGCTGAGTGCCTTCGGTACTCAATTAGCGCCAGCATCGATCATGTAGAAACGACAATCCCCGTAAGCGAGACAACTGTGGACAGTCTAGACTGTGACTAGATGAGCGTAACAGTGTGTGCCTCAAACTAATTGTCATATTTGCTAGTTGCCAATATGTACATTTAGTTGGGAAAGGAAGCGTACAGACGTACGAAATGCGAGTGAAGTGTACAGTGATTGACAATGGAATTATTCGCGATCACGTAGACGGATTGGTTTGACACCAGAACATTGAACAAATCCCTTACTCAGCTGGTAGTAAAATAATCGAATCACCAACAAGAGAACACGATGTACACCGAATATCCGCGATATTCCCGACTTGGCTGAGATACGATATTTTGAACGAGAAGGGTGGAGCATCTTCAATGCCGCTACCGATCTATAGATATATTTAATCTAGCAAAGCCAACCCAACGTTAAAGTTGAACATTTAATTAGGTTACACTAAACATCCATCATTGAAAGTGCGTTACGCGTAATTTACATGACCCTAACATTGTAACAATATTACTGAAACGATCATGGTGATTATTTAACTGGTTACGCAAAAACTTTGAAATGTATTCCTCAGTATGGGTTGTAATTAACGCTGATCCGTCGGTCGGAGGCCGACCTTATCTCCTTAAGAACCAGTTGTTTTGAAAACCAACAGGTCCTTTTGATTGATACAAGAACCCTGTCATGGTCCTGCAGTTTCAAAGTGACTACTAGTTCTTCTAATGGTATATACAGAGACAGAATACGAATTTTACATATTTTAATTGTTAACATTTCTCCACGTTCATGCTACACGATCAGCAATAAGTCACCGTCAAAAATATCAGCGCACATGGTTGACTTTCAAAAAGAATTATTAAAAATAAGTGTAAGAGATACCATTGATTTGTGTCGATCTTTATTTGATCATATAAAAAATATACGAGCTGTGCTATATTCTAAATGGCTAACAGCTACATAACAAAAACCGTATAATTTCAAAATAACTGCTTACACAACTCTTTGTCAAAATGACGTCACAGAAGAACTTTATCACTGGAGGGCGCAAGTTGTTTTACGTTGCTTGTCGTTTTCGGGTTTACGGTTTAAGATCCCAAAGAATATGATATATTATTAATTTAACCCCTTAATGTATAATACCTATACCATAATGTTATTACGATGTTGATAAAAAACGTTAGCCATCTTAAAGAAACGTTTCATTTTTGCATTTTCTAATGATGTAGGATCCATTTCACTATAACTTAAGGATATATTCTGATGTATAATTAACTATACTATGTAGTTAGCTGTTAGTTATAAACTAAATAAGCATTGGTAAACACTGTAGATGTTAATGGGGTTAGCTGCATAGTGCTACTGGGGGGAGTTGCAGAATGCTAATGTGTATATAACTATCCGGGTGTCTATCTGGTGCCATTAGCAGATACGATTGCCACGAGGCAGTGTATATTGCAATGGACTCATTATCATTCATGTCAACGTCAGAGTTTTAGTGTGCGTGGACCTACAGGAGCAGAAAATCAATTTGCAAATATTTCTGAGCACGGATAAACAAATTTGTTCGATATTTCATTTTGATAAATATATAATTAGAATGGATTTCTTGTAGCATAGTTTTGGAAACAGTAGCATTAGTTATAAAAAGGAATGAAAACACAATTACACGTGTATGTCAGATTTAGCGATATGTACTGGTTGTTCAAAGTAGCAAGCTCACTATTTTTTTTTAATAAAGAAACGAACATATTGATTTTACGAAAAATCGTGAGCTGCTGCTGTTTTTATTAGGACGTAATATCAAACAATATTATTTAGGCATTGTGGCTTCAAAGGTTAAATGAA